GAAGTCCACAAGTCTTAAAAGTTGCCAATTGTGCAGGCCAATTCTTACTCAAAAGTTAAGTCCCACTAAGTTTTCATGTTAATATACATAGGATTGGCTCCTTTATTGGGAAGGAGATTTTGAACAGAAACCATTGGAAAGAAGCCAGATATGTATATAATAAAAGGGGGCTTAATTGATTTGTGCTTGGAGCACAGGATATATACTGTATTAAGATAAAACACATCTGAATGCAAGTGTGGAAATCTTGAGAATTGAAGTGAAAATTGTGGGCTGAATAATTTTGGATAATTGACTACAGCTTTTGGTTGGGGAGAAGAATGAATAGTTGGGGAGTGGTTGCAGTAGTGTAGAGAATATGAAATTATTTAATAAAAGGGTTCCTCTAGAAAGCATGTACCATTAAATTCTGCTCTACTGTTGAGAAAATTATGGGATCTGGTGGTGAGGTATAAATGAATAGGGAAGAAATGGGCATTTTTCAGGAAAAATAAGTGATAAAATGTGTAATTGTCTGGAACGGAATAAGGAACTAACAAAAAGGAAAAATAGTTCATAGAAAAAAGACTGCAGACTTTCTTGATTTCAGGTGGTGGAGGCTATTACCCATATGGTGATGTGAAAAAAGTTTTCTTCTGCCTCTTCTCATACTGTCTTTAAGTATCAGAGGCACCAGAGGTGCTAGTCTGTGAGAGCCATGTACAATGGAATAGGACTTCCCACTCCCCGGGGCAGTGGTACCAACGGTTACGTGCAACAGAACCTCTCGGCAGCACGTCACAAGAAGGATCGGGCTGACTACAAGTCGGAAGAGGAGCTGAGGAAACTGGAGTCATCTTTGGTTAAAAAACGAAACCAGGACATCCTGGATCACGAGCGCAAAAGGAAGGTTGAGTTGAAATGCTTAGAACTGGCTGAGCTCATGGAAGAACAAGGGTGAGTTGTTACAGGAAGGTCAAGGCTAAGACATTTTCAAGACATGATGAGAAGAGCAGTGAGAATAATAATGGTCAACTGGTAGCAAATAAACCAACACTGTTATTAGAATATGCAGATATATCTGTATATATAGAATATACAGATTTGGGAATGATATGATCATATGATGCTTTGCATCCAAAATTTCTGATTTTTGGCACTCAGTTTTTTATAAAAGGAGGTCTCATTTGTTTGGAATTATTAGCAGAACAAGTATTTTGAATATATTGGGTAAAGGAATATAGTGTTGTGTAATATTGGCGGTATTTTCTATGCTCAGTTTTCATTTTGAGCAATGGAATTTGTTCAGAAAACATTTCTTTATTGAAATTTAAGAACTTAGTTATAAGTCTGTTAAAATTGGATAATATTTGAGATATACTTGAAATGAAAATGGTTGATGTTTTGTACTAACAATGCCTAATATTATAAAGCATTTTAAATATTCTATAGAGATTCATGGTAATACACAATAATACACAGAATAGTCTAGTAAGGTAGACTATTATTGGCCACATTTTGCAGACATTAATGGCCAGAAGGCTTAAGAGACTAAATGATTTGTGAAGATATTCTAAAAGATTCATAGTAGAAGCAGAATTTGAACTAAAACTCTCTTGCTTTACATTTTGGTTTTAATATTCTATACTAAGTTATGTACTTTCTAGAGCAGGGGTGTCAAACTCAAGGCCCAGGGGCCAGATCTGGCCTGTGGGGTGCTTAGATCTGGCCCATGGGGCCGCCCTGGAAGCAGCAAAGGACCAGCCTGTGGTGGCCCTCCCAAGCTCCCTTTTGGCCACGACCACCTCCTGCAGCCCTCTGCCAGTGAAAACACAGCCCGGGCAGGCTGTGCGTACCACCCCACCCCCCCTGAGCTCCATTTTTGCCGGCAGAGAGCTGCAGGAAGCCGTAATGGCCTAAAACGGAGCCTCAAGTGACATCAAGCTGGCCACACCCACCCCGGCCACTCCCATCCCTGGCCCCCCAAGGTCAAATACAACCCTGATGCAGCCCTCAATGAAATAGAGTTTGACACCCCTGTTCTAGAGGGTGGATTCTTGGATCTTTTATAATCCATGCATTTTAGAAATATTTTTTTATATCATTTCAGTGATTTAGCTTTTAAATAGAACATCTTTATAGTCCACTGCATTCTATTCTGATGCATACAATAGGTATGAAGAAGGGGAGATTCAGGAGAAAGTGGCCACTTTTCGGATGATGCTTCTAGAAAAAGATGTGGCAGTTGTCAAAGAGGGGGAACAGCAGCAGAAGTCTAGGTAAGTAAGGCATTTGTGGATTTTGTGTTGTTTTGTCATGACAGCTACTTTTCATCTTAAGAGAGGCTGTTGTGCCAAAAATATGCCATGTTTCTTTTTTTTTTATAAAAAGTTTTTTGTTTTTATATTTCAAAAACATCTTTTGGTGAACAGCATGGTTCCAGGTTTTTACATTTCCATACAAACATGACCTTAGTTACATATTCATCTTTCGCATTCAGTTTCATATCACATCATTACATTACATAATTTCTATAAATTTTCTCAAATATCCTTCTATTCTTCACACTTATTGTATATATTTTCTATTCATATCTTAGCTTATTTCATTTTTAATATCGTATCTTTATATAATGTTTAAAATTCTTATTTCTTGTTCTTTATTCATTATAGTTTTATCTGTCACATTTTCAATTTCATCGCATACTCTTATTCATACATGATATTCTTCTGACTAAAATCGGAATTCCGATTTTTCATCGCCCCCCCTTCCCCCCCTTCTTCTCCTCCTTCCCCTCCCCTCGGAGGCTCCCTGAGTCAGGAGCAGGGAAGCGGCTGCCCAGCTCTGGAGCTGATCCACACCACCGGCTGGAAAGGAAGAGTGTGTATGTGTTGGTGTTGTGTGTGCGATTTCTTGGCGTGTGTCGCGGGGTCTCTTGGCCGGCCCCGAAAGAGCGTGCACGGGGCGGGCAGTGGAGATGTGGGAGTGAATGCCGGAAGGAAGCGAACCTCGTTGCAAAGTTTTGCCTCTTTCCCTTTCTTTTTCTTCTATCATCCCTGCGGCGGGCGGGCTGGCTGGCTTGGCAAGTGGACGAGCTGAACAGCGGCTTGGCTACCTACCTTGCAAGGCAGGGGAAGACCAGAGAAGGGAAGAAGACAGGGGTGGCATGGGGCGGGGGGGGAGAGGTTTCCCGGGGATGCGGAGGTGTGGAAAGAGCCAGACGGCTGCAGCTCCCTCCGGAGAGCGAAAGCAATGTTCATTTACTGGAAAATTCCCCTGCGGGAAGTCGCGCGGAGGGGAAAAAAAAAGAGCTTGGAGCGGCGACTGGAACCAGAGTTCCCTTGATTAACAATTCTGAATTTTTTTTCCCTTTTTTTACTCCCTTCCCGCCGTTGATAATTAGGATCCGGTGCCTCCAGGGTCCTGTCGGTGGTGTGGGGGGTGGGATGATTAGATTTGGGGAGGAGGGCGAGGTCAGAAGGAAAAGGCACCCCTGGCTACTTTTCAGATTTTTTTTTCAGAGGGGAATATCATGCCTGTTATTTCATATTCAAAACATTCCATCCTAATTCTAATATCAAAAAAACACCCCTCCCCCTTTAATTACTAATTTGAATGTACCACCTCTTTGTCTTATACATCATTCATTTAATTCCCCTTTCATAATAATGATTTATGTGTTCACTTTTTAGTTATCGCTTTGTAAGTAACAATAATCTCCTAATTACTACATAACACATGTAGTGTAAGGCATCCAGAAAGGGTCCATGATATCAATCACTCCGAGACATTTTATCTCCAATTGATTTATTTAGAAACAGATCTGACATGTCAAAGGCAATTTCCCAAAGTGAAAATTTTTTGCGCGTTACACAGAATCCACCTTCTCTCTTCTCTCCTCCCACTTCTACACTTCTTAAATCACGAGAACCAATTAACTGCCACTGGAATTTCTTAATATGACATACAGAATAACCTTGAACTTTTCAACTCCTCCAAACTCTTAAAAAAAATATGGCAGCTGAATTTCAAAGCTGACATATACATTTTAAGCTGGATTCCACATGGTATTCCCCCCCTTAATTACTTTCTATTACATTTATTATTGCAAATAATATGATCTATTCAATCATAAAAACTGATGTTAATCTTTTTATAACAATCCTCATAGTTCATTTTAACTATATTCTTAATTTTATTAAACTTATTTAGTATATTTATCATAACTTCCCAATTTCACATTTATACCAATTATATTTATGTGTAATTTAACAATAACAAATAGTCCAATAACAAAAACATCAGTTCCAATCTTTTCATTTTTAAAGTCTATATTTTTTATACGTTACAACAAATTACTATTACTTCAAGTACATTTATATTACAACACGTTACCTTGCAGAATCCCCTTCTTCCTAATCTACCCATTATCTCTGTCTCCTAACTAGACAATTTCTTTTCATTCTTGTTCGATTTCCATATCTCCTCCTTTTCTGGTCCTTTTTCTTTATTGCCTCTTTCCCTTCATTTTTCCCTCCATTTCTTACTCAAGTTTTTATCCACCTTCCTCTTTAAAGCTTTCTTCTGCAGTTCCCTTTTCTGCTGTTTCCTTTTTCTTTGTTTGGCTTTCCAAACATTTCCATTTTTAATTATCTCCTCAAACTTCCAAGTTTTAATTTTCATTCTTTTTTCCTTTTGCTTTGGTGTTCGTTGTTCCATTTGTTCATTAGTTGGTCACTTCTTTATTCAGCTCCTCCCCTTCTGGCACTCCTTGTTCTTTGTTCTCCAAGATCGCCATTTCTATTAGTTGTAAGGCAATACAGCACGATTCATTTCTTTCATGTAATATTTCCTTTATGTTTCTGAGTTCCATTTTTATTTCCAAACTAAGTTCTGCCATTTTTATACTCTTTTAGGTTTTCTTTATTCCTTTCTTTAATATTTAAATCCAAACTAATTGTCCAGTACTTTAATTCAACCAACCTCTTTAATATTGATTTCCAGCTATCAGTTTCTGTTAATTCTTCTTTGAGTTTTCTCCAAAATAATCAAATAATCCAATATCCATAAATTAGAGTTGTGCCAAAATCAAACAATCCCGAGGTAATTTCTTTACTTTTCTTTCTTTTATGTTAAAATTCTGTATTTTCACTTTTCAGGGTTTCTATTTTGTTGTAACAAAGTTCCTCTTATTTTGTATCAAGTTCCACTTTTGAAAGAGCCAGGCACTTTTTAAAGGGTCACTAAAATTTTTCATAGGTGTGAATCTTTGAAGACTTTGATTTGTGTTCAAAATCCTGTTTTTTGAGATTGGGATCACTAAAAAAAGATGAATGCAACAAATGTTAGATGAAGACTATAGAAAACTCGAGAGAGAACTACAAAAATATCCACAAAAAATATTAAAAGCCAAATGGAAATAAACATAAAATGGGGTTGATGGAAAAAGAATTAGCTCAAAAAATTAGGAGTGCTAAACAGAATTTCTTTGAAAATGCAAAAAAACCAGGCAGATGGCTGGCATATAAACTGAAAAGTGAGAGAGAAATGAAAAAGATAATACAACTTATAGATGATCAAGGAATGGTTTGCAATGGAAATTAAGAAAAGAAAGAGATAATACAGAAGTACTATGATAAATTATATAATCAAGAAAATATTGAAAAAGAAAAACAATATTTGTAAAAAGCATAGCTACCCCAAATACCTGAAGATATTAAAATAATGTTAGAAGGGAAAATAACAATGATGGAACTGACAGAGGCACTAAACATACAAAATACTGGAAAGGCTCCGGGCCCAGATGGGCTACCCGTAGAATTTTACAATACTTTACAGGAATCTTTAGTACTTCAATGCTTGAAGTGATGAATGAGGTTTTGTCAAAAACTAAAATACCTAACTCATGGACAGAGGCTTATATTACTCTTATACCTAAAGAGGATACCGACCAACAAATAAAAAACTATAGACCTATACCCTGCTAAACGCAGATTACAAAATTTTTGCCTCAATAATGGCAGAAAGACTTGAAAGATATTTGAACAACTTTATACACACTGATCAAAATAGATTTCTGCCTAAGAGGCAAATTAAAGATAATATAAGAATAATTTTGAATACATTAGAATACTGTGAAACACATCCAGAGAAACAAATGGCCTTGGTATTTTTAGATGCGCAAAAAGCCTTTGATAATGTAAATTGGCAGTTTATGATATTACAAATGGAACAAATGGGTTTTGGAGAAAGATTTGTTAAAGCAATTGAGACAATATACCATAAGCAATCTGCTGAAGTAATGGTACATGGAGATTTAACAGATAATATTAACATTAAAAAAGGAACTAGACATGGATGTCCTCTGTTGCCCCTGTTGTTTGTACTGACTTTGGAGGTGTTAAACAGAAATATTAGACAATAGTGAAATAAAGGGAATGAAGATAAATTAAAATTGCTACAGGATGCTAGAACAAGAGGAGGCTTTGGATTATCCAATTGGGAATTATATTATCAGGCAGTAACAATGTGGGTGAAAGGATGGGTTGTTTTGAGGAATATTAGATTGTTAACATTGGAAGGTCATGATTTGCTATTGGGATGGCATGACCTATACCAGTCCAGTTTCTCATTCCTTAATATAATCAACCATATAAGAAACAATTTTATTATACCCAACCAAATAAGGAATTCAACCTCCCAATGTTCCATAAACTAAATGTAAATTGTATGTCTGTTGTTAGGAATGTAAGTCATCTAACAGCTATTTGGGTTGGAAATATATAAACCAGGATAAACATTTTGAAACTGTATCTTTAAGAAAATGCAAAACTTTCTGGAGCTGCCCCGACTATAGCAGCATGGGGGCTGCCTCTCCGCTGCCAGCAAAAAGAGCTTCTCCCGGGTCATCCAGGGACTTTGCGGTGTCCCCGGAGTCCACAGGGTATGCTCTTCGCAATCGCCGTCCCTACGGGACGGTTTAGGTCCGTTTGGACCGGCCGGAAACGAAGATATCGGCT